ATTAAATGCTTAAGCATTCAGCCCCATGCCTCACACAGACTAAGGATTGGATAAGTTTCAGTTGGTCTTACTAATTCTTATACTTCTGAGCAAATCAGATAGCTTTTCTGTGCCCACATTCTCTCACTACTGAAGATAGAATATGCCAATCATCCTGTATTAGCATAGGCTAACTGTTGAAATCAGACCCCCCACACCACACACACACACACACACACACACACACACACACTTAGTGGATTACTTCTTTCATTTCACTGTCCAGTGATAGTGATGGGGAAAAGAATGAGGTCTCACTCCAGGGGGGCATTTGGGAATCCAGACACCTCTATCCAGAAGCTCTGCCATTAAAAAGGGTCTTTTTGGCAAAAGAGGAAAGACAGAAAGCATAAAATTTGCATGGATTTTGGGCCTCCCCGGTGTCGCAGCAGTTGAGCGCTGGGTTGTGAAGCTGCCCTCAGCCTCTGCAGCGCCGGTTCGATCCCCAGCCACCAGGCGAGGGTCCCACATGGCGCGCAGACCTCTCCTGCTGCCCGCTGCTCCCCTCAGCAGTGTACTTCGTCACTCTGTCTGTTCTAGTCTCCGCTCTGGCTCTGGTGAATTCTCACCCTCCCACGCCTCTGACTGTACCCAGTGCTTGTATAAATAAATAAATAAATATTTAAAAAAAATTTGCACGGATTTTAGAGACCAGGCCTGGAAATGGCATGTATAACTTCTACCTGCATCCATAGGTCAAAATTTAGTCACATGGGGCCTCCCCTGGTGGCACAGTGGTTGAGCGCTGGGTTGTGAGGCTGCCCGCAGCCTCTGCAGTGCCAGTTCAATCCCTGGCCACCGCGAGGGTCCCACAAAAAAAAAAAAAAATTTAGTCACATGGGCTTCATCTAACCACAATCAATCACCTTATCGGGAAATAACATCCAGCTATGTGTTCAAAATAAAAGTGCAATGAAAACAACGTACAATGATGCTGCTATTGATTAAAAAAGGCAGTCTATGAATTTTCTAACATGCTGAAATATACAGCAATCAGGAGTAGTTAAGGGGGAATGTGACAAGAACTAAAATAGGGGCCTCCCCAGTGGCGCAAGGGTGTTAGGCACAGCACTATGAAGATAGTCTTAGCCTCTGCAGCGTGAGTTCAATCCCTGTCGGCCAGAGAGCTGCCCACATGGCATAGCAAACCTCTCCTGCCTGGCCCGCTCCTCCCCTCAGCAGTATGTTTCAGTCAGTCTGCCTGTTCTGTTCCCCATTCTGTTTCTGGTGGATCCTCTCAACACCCCCCTCACCCACCCCCCTGCACCTCTGGCCTGTATTCCCGTTCTTGTATGCATAATAAATAAATCTTAAAAAAAAAAAAAGAAAGAAACTAAAATATAATCAGAATGTTCATCTTATAGCAGAAACTCCTGGACTAGTAAGGCATTCTCTGCCCATTTCAAAAATGGGCAACAAGATGAAAACAACCCCTTTCTTTGCCTGTGGGCCCAAGAGTGCAGTAGAAAAACTTGTTTGAAGAAAAACAGAGGGGAAAAAATAATAGAGTAGAAGCCATCACTGTGAGAAGTATAATTTTCAGAGAAGGATGCAGCCTGAAGCTACTACTTGGTAGCGATCAGCCTCTGCTGCAGTAATTTATTGCCACATGAAGATATTGGGGAGTTAATCACAGTATTGACATGTGTAACAACTGCAGGCACTAGACTCAGAATTAAATCCATGTTTAAAAATGAAAATAAGTACAAGACCACACAGGAGAAATGTACCACTAAAGAGAAGTCAGTCAGAAGGCCACAAACACAATTTTTTCCATGACCAAGATCAAGTTAATGCCATGCTTCTAAACCAGTGAACCAAACGTGTGGCTGTGTGGGAGGCAAAGGTGTCCAAATCACTGTGTTATTTCAACCAGATAGCTGCCTGTTTTCACTCATTTAAGTGATCGTGTGGCCTCTCATAAAAGACAGAGCAAACACAATTTGCGCAGACTTTGCCGTATGAATGTTAGTGCTTTTGGAATGCCCGATGATCTTGCCAGCTTTGGTTTAGGAAGGGATCCAGGTCTAATCTGATTCTTCTGGCTTCCTCCTTCCTTCTAAGAACCATCCCATTTCTTTTTTTTTTTTTTAAGATTTATTTTATCTATTTATCTATTTATTTATTTATTTATTTCATACAAGCACTGGGTACAGTCAGAAGCACAGGAGGGTGAGAGAATTCACCAGAGCCAGAGCAGGGAACAGAACAGGCAGAGTTATGAAATACACTGCTGAGGGGAGCAGCGGGCGGCAGGAGAGGTCTGCGCGCCATGCGGGACCCTCCTCTGGTGGCCGGGGAGCAGCTGGGGATCGAGCTGGCGCTGCAGAGGCTGCGGGCAGCTTTGCAACCCAGCGCTCAATCGCTGCGCCACCGGGGAGGTCCTGAACCATCCCGTTTCTTACCTACTCTTTTGGTCCAAGGAAGATTCAGCCTAGAAGGAGGGAATATGCTATTGCTCCCAAGAATCTTTGCTTTTAAATGGTTCCCACCTAAGGTATTTACTAAAATGAACCAAATTATTAGCCCAGAGAGGGCAATCAAAGTGAACAGATAGTTCTTAGGCCACCAAAAACCACCAGAGAGGATTTAATGATAATATTATAAATTTGAATCTGAGTTTTAGAGTGAAAAGAGGTAAGGGTAGAAGCAGAAACTGTACAGGACCATAGAAATCAATGTTTAACAAAAATCTCTTCCTTGCATTCATAAACAATGATAAGAATTGTCCACATCAATGGCAATTCTTCATTTCTTTTCACAATGTAGATTACTTGTAGAGTGTGTGGGAAATTGAACTATACTGGTTCTGTTCTTCAAATGAAGAAGATAAAATAATTATTTGTTTTTCAAACCTTCAACTTCTACTTCAACTTAATTTTTAAGAATCATGCACCAAAGGAGGATACAGATAAACTTCATTTTGACTTTTACATCTTGTGGCCTGGATTCTCGTTTTCATTTTCCCAAAGCTACTTGAGAAAAATTTAAAGGACTAGTAGGAAAAATAGCTCAGTGGGTAACAAGATTCTAAAACATTTAATATTCTCTCAACAGTGTGTCTTGACTTGTATATTGAATATACTCTTCATTGTGAAAAATTTCTAAGTACCAACTCTAAATATTTTCCATTTTAGGAACTTCAAATGCAAAGAAAAATTGAAAAAATATTTTTATGAGCAAAAAATGAGAGTAAGTTGCACTTCCCACACCTCCTTCAAATATTTACTGACAACCACAAGCAGTGGTGGGGGTGGGGATGAGGCAATGCAATTAGTGAAGATGGGGGTAGAGTGTGAAGTTTCCTTTTCTAGTATTGATTTGTTTTCAGAGCTGACACAATCTTAGAGGTTTCTTTTCCAAAGAAAGCCATACAAGAGAACTGATAACAGTGGTGATTAAGAGAAGGCTCTGAGAATCTGACAAGCAGCCACCAATTCTTTTTATGTTGTCTAACGAAAGTTTTTTTTTTCTTTCTGAATCCATGTTATTCATGAGGAAATAGCATACACAATGAAAGGATGTTATATTAATATAGCCACATGGTGCCTTATGCAAATAAATGTGACTCCAAATATTTTATGTCCTGTAATTAGTTGAAATCTGGAATGTCCTATTTCTCCTAATACCCACTTCTCACTTGTTACTGTGAGATTTGAGAAATGATTCTTAAATTTGCTTATTCATGAAATAGCACTGAAGGAATTAGTCCCTGTCTATTATATGTAAAAATCAAAATATAACACTAGAGTTTTTTAGTTACTCTGAGAGAAGATACAATACGTGAAAACACATCATATATAATATGGAGAAAGAGGTTTTTCTAGGAACTTAAATTGTGTGAAGGCCCACACAACCTCACCTTGCAGGAGAAAAAAAATACTACACATAAGCTTTACGCCTTCTCACCTCACTAACTTTCTGATCCTAACAGAGGGACCCTTCTCTACTGCCCAGGGGCTTTTCCACCTGCGCCACAGAATCCAAGATGTGGTCTGCATTTTTTTTTCTTTCCTTTCCTTTTCTTTCTTGAGCATAAGACCAACTAACTTCTCTCGTGATAAGAGGAGGGATTCTTTGGTAGTTTCCCCGCCCAAGTCAGGTGCCCAAATACCAATGCACCCACCCACGTACTGTTGCGGTTGCCTGGGTGGCACGCACCCAAGTAGAATCATGGGGCAAAGAAGCAAGTGTATGCACGCGCTCTCGCACACGCACACGCACACACACACACACACACACACACTTTCTACACAAGCCTCGGTTGCTACAAAAGCAGCAAAGCAGTTGCTCATTTTCCCAGCACCCAGATTTTATGAACGCGCGTAAAAGGAGCGAGTAGCGCACAGGAGCGGAAAGCAGGGGGAGATGCTGGTTTCAGCTCTGACTTCCTGGACGTCAAGTTCAGCGTGGTTAAGAGGGTGCCAGAGAGCGCCCCAGCCCTCCCAGTGCCCCGGGGGACAGCTGCCTTTCGGCACCAGCAGCCTAAGACTCAGTGGGGTGATTCTACCACCCCCACCCTTCGAGGGCAGGAAAGTCTCAGCGAGCCGCCCTCAGCGCCCCGGGGAACCCGCGTAGCCGGGCGCCCCTCCCTGGCACTGACAGCGGCGGGGTCCCCAAAGCGCCTGCTCTCAGTCCCGGGTGTCAGAACACGCCCCGCCTCTTCCCATTCCGCCAATGGGCGGCGGGGCCGCAGCAGGGTGTCCCCGCCTCCACCGCGGAAACTTGCTGCGGGAGAAAAGTTTGTGCAGAGAGGCTGGAAGGGCGAGAGCGGAGCGCGGAACCCGGCAGCCCAGAGGAAGAAGATGGATGGCCCCCGGTCAGCGCCTCCGGCCCAGTGGACCTCCAGCCGCCCCCAGGGCGCCAGAAGCGGCTTCAGCGGCAGCCGCCGACTCCGATAGCCGCCCGCGCCGCCCGCGGCTGGGAAGGAGGTGCCCGAGCCGGGCACTGGGGCGCCGCCGTGCCACCTGCGCGCCAGAGCGCACACCTGAGCGCCGTGTGCCCACGGGCGGGACCTGCGGCTTCCGCGAGTCCGAGACTCATCTTCCAAGGAACGAACCAAAGCAAGAAAACGAAATCCCACGTCGGGGTGCCCTCACCCATCCCGCTGCCCGGCTGGGGTTCCAAGCGTTTGAGAGCTGCCCGCGCTGCCCCCAGCTCCGGAACATTAGCAGTCGTCGAGACCCGTCTTTCGGGAAGCAAAGTCTTGGCAAGCTCCTCGCTGAGTAGGCGGGAGGCTTGCCCCGGGGGACTTACGGGGCTGCCACCACCGCAGCCAGCTCAGGTGAGATGGCTTTGGGGGCGCTGGGCAAAGAGTTTGGGGCGGGGGTGCGGGGGCGCTCCGGGAGGGGAGGCCCGATGAAGAGGGCGCACTCTCCAAACTGTCTCCCATAACCTGTAGACAGTGAGAATTTTATTGACTCAATCTGTCAGGAATAAGAGCGAGTCACATTTCCCTTGAGTGCTCGTGTTCTTGGCAATAGAGTGAGTGGCTTGGGGGCGGGGGGTGGGGACAGAGAATGGCACTATCCACTTAAAACTTTCAATTTCAATCGATGTTGACGTCCTGCTGCTGGCAGGACATCCCCACCGCCTGCAGATTTCGGTGGCACGAGTTGGCCAGTGGCTACAATCCTCAGCGTGGGGTAGAGTTCTTCCCCGGGTCTCATCAGCATTTGTTTATGGGGTGCGTGGGTCTGACACCTCGCAAGTGGTAATACCCGCTCACCCTGCCTTTCTCTCCTCTGCCATCCCCAGACCTAGCCTCTTGCATGGCAACGCAGCCTGCAGCCGCCCCAGCCATGTCCACTCCCGGGGCCAATGAGTCCGGCTCCTCCAACTCCGAAGGGCCATACAAGCAAGTGACCATCCCGGCTGTGATGTTCATCGTCGGGGTGGTGGGCAACCTGGTGGCCATCGTAGTGCTGTGCAAGTCGCGCAAGGAGAAGAAGGAAACAACCTTCTACACCTTGGTGTGCGGGCTGGCCGTCACCGACCTGCTGGGCACGTTGCTGGTGAGCCCGGTGACCATCGCCACCTACGTGAAGGGCAGTTGGCCGGGGGACCGCGCGCTGTGCGAATACAGCACCTTCATCCTGCTGTTCTTCGGCCTGTCGGGCCTCAGCATCATCTGTGCCATGAGTATCGAGCGCTACCTGGCCATCAACCACGCCTACTTCTACAGCCACTACGTGGACAAGAGGCTCGCCGGCCTCACCCTCTTCGCGGTCTATGCATCCAACGTGCTCTTCTGCGCGCTGCCCAACATGGGCCTGGGCAGCTCGCGGCTGCAGTACCCGGATACCTGGTGCTTCATCGATTGGACCTCCAATGTGACAACACAAGCCGCCTTCTCCTACATGTACGCGGGCTTCAGCTCCTTCCTCATCCTCGCCACAGTGGTCTGCAACGTGCTGGTGTGCTGCGCGCTGCTCCGCATGCACCGCCAGTTCATGCGCCGCACCTCGCTGGGCACCGAGCAGCACCACGCGCTGGCCGTGACCTCGGTGGCTTGCAGGGGCGTCCCGGCCAACACCTCCCCCGCGCTGCAGCGCCTCAGCGACTTTCGCCGCCGCCGGAGCTTCCGCCCCATCGCGGGAGCCGAAATCCAGATGGTCATCTTACTCATCGCCACCTCCCTGGTGATGCTCATCTGCTCCACCCCGCTGGTGGTGAGTGCCCCGCAGGCTCTGCGCCCGCACGCGCTTCTCCCTGCCTCCTTTCTCTCTCTTTCCTGGACGTGAACCCCAGTTCTCCAGGTCGGGGCTGAAACCCCACACGTGGCTCCTCAGAGTGGCCCCCTCTCCTAAGAGATCCAGCAGGTGTTTTTTATTCTCCAACGCCCCCGAGTTTCTTTCCCCGAAAATCAGGTTTCCTTTCTTTGCTGGGACAGCCCCAACCCCTTGCTGCCAGACATTGGCCACGAGCCTTCTGGGAACCCCCGGGGCTCTTGGTAGGGCAAAGGTGGAGGGGAAACCACTTGGTGAGACAGCCTGGTGCAGCACAATATGAAACCTGATCTTCTGGCATACGCTGTTCCTGAGGACCGGGTAGGAGTGTTAGTGTTTTGATTAATGTAGGGTTTTCTTGGGAAGATTTTGTAGAATTTTAGAGCAACAGGAGATACCAATATTGCATGCTTTATGGTCTAGTCTACCAGCCTCACTTTATACAGCTTGTCACTTGCTTAAAATAGCCCAGCAGAACTACACTGTCAGGCTAGAAGCACTGATTCTTACTCTGCTTTGCCTGGGAGAACCTCTAGGAGCCAGGTGGGTCAGAACTCCTACACCGGACATGACACACTAGGGTGTCCTCATCCTCCCAAGGGGTCAGGAAAGCCAGGTTTCTGGGGAGCACATTAAGGGCAGGCAGGCATATACACCGGATATTGAATTTGAATCCCTAAAGCCTGTGAGAGATTCTGTGTCATTGCAGAGAAAATGAGCTTAAGAGACGTCATCTTATTTAAGGCCAAGGCAGAACCCTGCAGCTTGTGATGAAGCTCAGCCCCAGCTGACTCCAAACCCTGCTCATGTAATATTCATTGCACTGAGAACACTTCTCAGTTGGCCTTGGTTACAGTGTGTATGGCATTTAGTAGACTTTTTTTGAATTGCATTTAGTAGAATTTTGAAATTGCTTTGGGATGTTTTAAATGTAACAAGCAGAAAAGTTTTAAAGTTTTGTAAGCAGAAAGTTTAAAAACCTACTGAGTTCTCTACTTTGCCTGTCATTAAAATGGAATGTACCAGGAACCAGATGAATGTAACACTATCTACAGTTCTCTTGAAAGTAACTAGTTCTGAGTTTTTCTATCTCCCAAAACACTGCATCCCTGGAAATTCTAAACTACCAACTCGAAAAGAGATGACTTCTCTTTCTTTTTCTAATTGGGACAAAAGAAAAAAAAAGTTCTTCCTTTCTCTTACTAATACTGTCTAGGGATCTTTAATATAAATATAATTTATCTTTAATATAAAATATTATGTTTCTGATAAAAGTGACTGCAAATGGAAGGAACTTAGAGGTGGCTGAGAGCCAGTGTATAGTAGCTTCTTGGTAATTTATATAAACAGAAGTAAATATAATTGGTCAGAAGTGCCCTAAACTCTTCTAAGATGCAATATAATTTATAGGGTTAAGTTGCACTTGAGCTACATGAATTTTTACTGTCTGTAATGGCAACTCAGAATACAGTAAGATTTTGGGGAAACAGCTGCTTCTGCAGAGGCTCACTTCTGCTGCCTTATTTTGCCAAAACAGTAAATGACAAAGTGAGTGGTGGCTATTTACAGAACTTCCACTTTAAGAAATCAAGAACTTAGAACTAGAAGGTTAGCAACATGACATACTTTGAGAAGGTATGTGGTTGGAGGTAATTGTGTGAAGCTGCTAGTGGCTGCAATCACAGATGAACTGCTCACTTTTGGCATGTAGAGAAGCACAAAATGGCAAACTCATCCTCAGGATCCAAGAAATAGATCTGTTCTTCTGTGCAGACCACTTGTCACAAAACTTTTGAAGTTATTTAAGAAACTAGAGGCAGGAAATTCAGCGAGCTGTATTTGTGGTTTAACTGACCACACTTTAACTGGCAAATTCTAGTCACTCCGTACAGAGACAGTAATGGTTAGTAGATCATAAGTAATTTCACCCTGAAAATTGAAACTGGCTCAACTAAGAAGCAATCACCCTGTCAAGCACTCACAAACCATTGTAAATAATAAGGAAGCTCACCAACAGTACTGGCTTCCATGTTTAACTTTTAGTTATGGCTGCTAAATCTAGTTTCAGAATGAGTTTAATTGTAAATGGATGAGAAGCAGCCCACCCACACTAGCAATTATGGAAATGAATAGGGAAATATCCACGATAGTCTTCCTTGGCTTACTTTCACAAGGTTCTTATTTTCTCACATTCATATTGCAATTTAAATTGAAAGTTTCTGAACTGTAACATTTAAAGCTTTTGAACCCATCTTCAGGTCCAAGGGGACTGGTAAAGTATCTATTTTAATTTTATCATATCAAGTTGGCTGCCGATCCTATTGCAAATAAAACACTTCAAATCACTTTAAATGCTTTGGAAAGGCTATTAGAGCAAATTTCGTTTACTTGGAATTTCAGAAAGCGTGACAAAATATATAAGGAAAATAAAGAGTCACTGAAATGCCACCAATTTTTGTCTTTTGGACACTAGAGAAGAAAATATCCAAGTGACTTCTGGATGGGAGCTGATATTGAGTTTTGTAGAAAAAGTCAATTTTTAATTTTCTCTCCAAAATATATATAGATTTCATAAATAAAGCTAATCTTGGTCAAAATTTGAAAAAGTTTGGGAAATGAGTGTTTTTGAGGACCTGTGCTGAGCATGCACAATTTTCTCAAGTGAGTCATAATCAGCCAACAGAGAAGGTGTAAGTACAGTCTACGAGGACATCATATGACAAGACTTAGTGGGGAGGTGGCTCTTGTCATGGTCTATTCTATTTATAACCTGTCACTGGTTTTTCAAATACATAAAAGCTGGAGAAATGAGAGTCTAAGGTTAAGGTAAATAAAAGGGAGGGAAGCCCAGGAATAGGCAGACAAGACAGCCTCAGAAGGTGCTAGTGTTAAGTGAATACTGTGGCTAGATCAACTTTGGGTGCCTAATTTTGCAGTTACTAATATTAAGATAACAATTATAATCTCTTACCTCAGAGTTAAAGAGTTGCACTGTAGAATTTGGAAAGACATTACTCCCTTGGAGGGCGATATTTATTGCTTACTTGTTTCTTTCATTTTCTTCCTTACTGGGAAGTAGCAAGTATTTATCTCTGTTGGAGGTGGGGAATGGTCAATTTATTTAATCTTCTGACTTGGACGGTAATTCTTAGGGCTTCAGGTAAATCTTAGGGCTTCAGAAAAATAATGTCCTGTGCATGTTTCTTTAGTTACTTACTATCAGCTAGTAGCTTTTGTAAAGCCTGCACCAGCATTTGATGAGCACAGGTTTATTAGGACAGAGGAAAATTAAATAAGATACACTGTTGTTTCCTGCAGACAAACTTGGAATGGAATATAAAACACCTGGTAGGATTTTAGATGAGCAAAAATCCCATCTTTAGGTACAGGAGTAAGAATATAAATGTGGGGTCTATTACAACAGAATCTGAAGGATTTGATTCTTTTTGAAATTAATTTGGCAAAGTTAAAAAATAACCATTCTTAGAAGCAGCTTTTCGATCTTAACGTGGAATTACAGATCTAGTAATTGCAGCACCTTGAGCACTGCAGAGTAGCAGGAATAAAAGGAAGATATTTCCTCATCCACATATCATGAATCTTGAAAAAAGCTCTAGGAAGATAGTAGGGCTGCAATCCCAGAGGCTGGTGCCTCCAGCTTGCTGTGGGGAGTCCTGTCTAATGCTCTTTGCACTGTGCTCTGCTGACCTGAAGCTTGGTTTTACTGAACAACAAATAATAGGGTTTCTTTTCCCTAGAGATGAAGTGTTCTTGTCCTCTCTTCTATTAAATTTCTGAAGTAGATAGAGATGGAGCTTTAGAGATTAAGTCATTTGTCTGCATCAAATGGCCAGTTATGACCCACAGGGCAGAAGAGAACTGGGTTTTGTTACACCGACTCCTTCCAGTATCCTTTACTTTAATTTTTTTTTTAATCTTTAAAGAGTTTTTTCATATAAGGATAAAAAGAGGAGGTAAGAAGTTCTTGCAATAGCTAAGTCCATTCAGACTCTACCAGACAGATCTCTGAGCAGAACAAGATCATGGGACTTGCTCAAATCCAGTTATAGGACCTTGTTGCTAATTGGAAAGCAAGTACTAAATAGGTCTAATGAAATTTCATTTAGACATTCCCTGTCAACAGGTTATTCTTAAACAGGAATTACATATCCCCAAGCTCCCCTTCAGTGGCATTTTTTCAAATTATTGATATATTCCGCAGTTGGTTATTGGTATATTCCACATTTGGGCTACCAAAAAGCAGGAGCAGCCGGCATATATGTTAGCTACCATGCATTGTACTAAGCACTGTCTTCATTCACACCTGAATTATAAAGAGTAGAGCCAGAATTCAAAAAAAAGGTTTGTCTGATTCCAAAGTGTGGTGTTTACCTCTCCAACACAGCCTCCCTCAGAACTGTCCTGTCCTCACACCCCCTTTAAATTGATCACATTTTCTTCAGATTATGTTCCAATGTTCCTGAAATCTAATCTCTAGTCATTCTCTAGAAGTTAAGAATATTATAATGTCTGCTAGTATAATGATAAATCACACGCACAAATTGCAGCTACTGAAAAATAGGTTTAAAATTGTAGAGTACATGTGTTGCTTGTGTTGGGTAAATTCTTTCAAGGTGTTTTTCCTCCTAACTGAGAGGTTTTTTTTTATCAGCCTCCTGCTCTTCCAACGCTGAAAATTGCCTGAACATGTTTATTGGTGTAACGTACAGGGCCTGTTCCACAAGAATTCCAGAAAATTTCTTTCACCTCCCACATGACACTGAAGGTCTACACTGGTGATTCCCACCTACGGCTGGGTTTTCCCCCTTAGAGGAGAGCAAATCAAGGAACGGTTCAAGCGAAGTGGAGAATGCTGTTTTTTTTTTTTTTTTCCAAACATGATGAAGTGCGTGAAGGTTTTATTCATTTTCCCTCTCTCTCTACTGGAAGTAAATCTCCATTGAGGAACATGTACTTACATTCTTTTCAAATAATTTGACTAGCTTTAAGAAGGTTTTTATCTGAATTTGGAGTATTCTCATACTCATTTTTTGTGTTACCCTGTGAGCTCCTTTGACTGAAATCATATTAAGTGATCTGGTTCAGTGGCTTGTATTAATCGTGATCTTTGTCCTTGCATGGAACTCTAAAATAGGGTTTTCTTTCACTCACTTCTCAAGTAGTCAAAATTCATTGTGGCTATTGATGAAGAGAGGCAAAGAACTGATTCTGTCTTTGCCCATTATTGTTTGACATCACTGTATTTTCTAAAGATCACAGAAATTAAAATATAAACTATTAACTCCTCATACATTCCTCTCAATAGCTAAAAATTTCTTTCCATTCATATCCATTTTAGCTGTTCAAAAACTTTCCTTCTTTCAGTAAAAGCCACACTTCTTTTGAGGCAGTGATGAAAGAAACAGCAACAAAACGTTTCATTGCTTAAAAATATCTGAAATGCAGAGTTCAGACTTAACCAAGATTCTATTCTGACAGGGGCTCTTAACGTGCCTATGCAAAATACCTTTTCTGTGGGACCCAAAACTTCCACGTGGAGCAACACTGCCACCTAGAGGCTGAAACTCTCAAGTACTCGCAAACTGTGTTGTAGGTTTTTTACTAGACTACACCCAGGGCCTGTTATTGACAAGTTTAGATCCACCATTTCCTTTACCTTTGGCAACAAAGGATGTGATGTGACCAAATATAGACTTCATGCTTTTTTACCAATAAGTGAATTATCAAGTTATTCTTAAATTGTCAAGAAATTCTTAAGCAACCTGCCAGCGTGGTAGACCAGAAAAAGCAACATGGAGGTCATAGGGTCAGTAATCAAGCCATGGGGAAGAGACTTATTAAATTCTTCAAACCCCTCAGGTCTCCCTAACTTCACCTAAGAAAAGGCCTATAGCCCTCAGGGCATCTCTGAGGACTGTATACAGCTGAAAGCCTTAGTAAAGACTATAGTTGGAAAAAACCAAGATGTCTTGTTTTCCCTGTTTTGGTAAAGACAGAAAAGCAAATCACTATCTTAATAGTGTCATTTATATGAGCATAGTTTCTAAAAGTATTTTAAGAAGAGTCACCATCTATTACTGTTTATTCTAGTTCCAGTTTTATTTACTTGTCTTCCAGAGATTAGGGTATTCATTTCATCTTAGTTGCAGCCATTTTAGCATTTTATTATGAGTTTCACAGGACTGATTGTAATCCCTTATCCAAAAACAAAGCCACAGTGTTTAAAAATTCAGAATTTCTTGGATTTTTGAAAAGTAGTTTAGAAATATAATCTATAACATGTGATATCCTCATCTGAACTGAGAGAGTATCTCTGCAGTAAAACAGGAATATGCACACTAAGTGGAATAAATAGAGCTATACACAGCCCTATAGTCCAGTTAGTCAAGGTTTTGCTGCCAAAATAAGTTTAGGTCAGATTTTGCAAGCAAAAAACAAACAAACAAAATGAATAACAGCAAATAACAGCAAATGAATAGCAGCAATTTCTTGAAAGGATTATTCCATTTAAGGACGTAACAAAAATATAGTTATTTGTCATGGACCTAACATCACCTAAGAATGGGTTTCATATGAGTTAGGTTTATGCAAAATAATGAAATTTATTTCTGTTGTCATTGGGGTTTTTCTATGTATATTATGTATGTATACTATGTATATCATTTGCAAATAGCAAGAGTTTTACTTCTTCCTTTACAATTTGGATACCTTTCACCTCCTTTTCTTGTCTAGTTGCTCTTGCTAGGACTTCCTACACCATTTGAATAGTACTAGACATCCTGTCTTGTCTTAGTACTAGACATCCTGACTTTTGAAGAAAAGTTTTCTTTTTTTCACCACTGAGTGTGTTTGTCATATAAAACCTTTATGTTAACTGTAATCCTTGTATACTTGTTTTGTTGATCACTTATGTCACCTTCATCACAAAATCACAAAATGATTTTGAATCTTGTGTGATTCCTTTCTTGCATCTATTGAGCCAATCATAATTTTTGTTCTTCGTATTGTTGATATCATAAATCATAGCTATTGATTTGCATATGTTGAACCATCCTTGCATCCCTGGAATAATTCATACTTCATTATGGTGTATGATTCTCTTAATATGTTGTTGAATTTGGTCTGTCTGTATTTTGTTGAGTATTTCTTACATTTATGTTCATCAGAGATATTTGTCTATAGTTTTCTTTGTGGGGGGGTGTCTGTCTGGTTTTGGAATCAGGGTTATGTTGGCTTTATCAAATATATTTGAAAATTTTCCCTCTTCAGTTGTTTGGAAGAGTCTGAGAAGGCTAGGTTTTATTTGAAAGTTTGAATTAATTCACTAGGGAAGAAATCTACTCCTTGGCTTTTGTTTTGGAGGAGGCTTTTGATGACTGTTTTATGTCCCTTGCTGCAGATAGGTGTGTTCTGCTCTTCTCTTTCTTCCTGATTCTGTCTTGCAATGTATGTTTCTTAGAATTGGTCCATTTCTTCTAGATTATCAAATTTGTTGCCATACAAATTTGCCATAAAATGTTCATAAACATTTTAACTTTCTTCGATCCAAATTGTTATAAATCTTTCTAAAATGTCTCTATTCTCTCAAAGTGATTCATATACCATTAATTATTATACTGTGTATTATGATAGTGAAGTCATAGCAGAGTTAAATTACAGATATTTTCCCCTCGCTAAATGGTTCCAGCTATGCTTTTGTGAGCTGTTGTTCTCCTCTTTTTGGTTCACATGCATCTAATTTAGCCCTGAGAGTCACCTCTTACTTCTCCTTAACCTAAAATAATTACAAAAGGCAAGCAATAATTAACTAATTACTAAAGAAAAATGGCAATGCTCTTAAAACCACTGTTTTATATCAATTACAGATTTTTTATTTATATAAAAAATAGTGGAATTAGATGTCAACTCAGGCAAAATACTTTAAGAGAAAATTTGAAAGTGTATATTTAACAGGTGTATTTAACACATACTTCATTTTAAGTTTCCAGAAGTTGGCATATCATTTCCTTCTTCCATGACTTTGCACATGGAATTACCTCTATTTGAAATGCTATGTCCTTTTTTCTAAATTCCCATTCATTCATCAAACTGGGTGCGAGTTTCCTCTTGCCTGGAACCAGGTGCCAGGTAGTTTCTCCTGACATCCTCCTCCCTATATGCACCTATCCCATTTCCTTAAATCACTGTGCAGTAGTAGTTGATCTCTCTTCTGCACTACAGGTTACTCTCTGCCTTCAAGAAATTTGTGATGTTCAATGCAACTTTTTGTACCCTGGACCTATCACAATGCCTCAGATGAAATAAGTACCCACTGTTAAATGACTAAATGTGTGAAAGAACATGAGTAAATAAGTGATTATAGTAAGAGCAAATTTTTTAACCACCAAAAGTAAGATTCCAAAATAGCAAACAGATTGTTAGGGCCTCCTCCTAGTCACTTCATTTGTGCTCACTCCATCCCCTTCCCCAGCCTGTGATGGACTTGAGACAAGCTTCTTACCTTAAATAGTGCAAACTTCCTCCAGAATGAGTTGTCAGCCCTCCTGGTCCGTCCAGAGTGCTTTTCTTGGCTCTTGTACGAGCTCCAATGGTATTCACGCACAGGGGAGGGATTGTTCTGAGTGGAGTTACCAGATAGATCCATGAGTGGCAGGTGTTGAGCAAAACTCGCTTTCACAAGCAGCAGCGGCCTCCTCCGAAGGTTGAGTAGCATAACAGCTGAGTAGCATAACAGATCTGCATGTTAGAAATCTTGTGGCAGCAATTAGAGCAGGAGTGGAGAGGAGAAGAAAGGAATTGAGGTGGGAAAACTAGTTTGGGTGAATAATCCAGGTGAGAAATGCAGTTAGCTCGAGGGAGGGACAGAACTAACCAGGAAAGGTTTTTCAAGGAAGAGTTGATAACAATAGGTGATTACAATAACCGGGGAACAGACTCAGAGAGAAAAATAAAAAATATCCTCCAGCTATTCTGGATGATAAGAGATTCAGATGCTGGTTTCAGTTTCCAGTTTGCTCTTCTAACTCCAAAATAAAGGAATTGCTGGGCTTTTCTGTGGTTAGTTCGTAAGATGGTTAGTTGACTCACCAAATAAATTTCATTTAAATGTATAAAGTGGCAACTGGAATAAGGGAAGTCAATTGCTACTGGAAAAAAGAGACATCACTGGAATTACAAAAACATAAAAGCTCTCACAGAAATAAAGTTAATAAGATGTTTCTCATGGGAACTTTAGGCATATGTTACCTTTATACACCTTTCATTTCTGTGTACTATCTTAGATCTTAGGATGGTTCATAAGACAGCAACAGCAATATTAGTTATACTCTACAAAATATAAATGTAATTGCAAAATGAGTGGTTTCATTAAGGCATATTGTATAGAATGCTATTTTATTGGCCTTTATTACAAGAAAAGAGGGTAGGTACTAGATGTTGCTAAGTTAAACATTGCATGTAAATGTTTTCCTGGTTCATGAACAATAAAAATTAAATTTGGTCTTTCATCTATGCAGGTGCGAGTGTTCATCAACCAGTTATATCAACAACCTTCGGAAAAAGATGTCATCAAAAATCTAGATTTGCAGGCCATTCGAATTGCTTCTGTGAACCCCATCCTGGACCCCTGGATATATATCCTGCTGAGGAAGACTGTGCTCAGTAAGGCCATAAAGAAGATCAAATGCCTCTTCTGTCGCATTGGCGGGTCCCACAGGGACCATTCAGGACCACACTGCTCAGAAAGTAGGCGGACATCTTCCCCTATGACGGGCCACTCACACTCCTTCCTCTCCCGGGAGCTGAAGGAGATCAGCAGCACCTCCCAGACCCTCCTCTACCTGCCTGAGCTCAGCGAAAACGGCCTTGGAGGCAGGAATTTGCTCCCGGGTGTGCCAGGCGTGGGCCTGGCCTGCTCAGACACCACCTCGCTGAGGACTTTGCGAATTTCAGAGACCTCAGACTCCTCTCAGGGGCAGGACTCGGAGAGTGTCCTGCTGGTGGATGAGGCTGGTGGGAGTATCAGGGCTGGACCTGCCCCAAAGGGGAGCACCCTGCAAGTCACGTTTCCCAATGAAACTCTGAACTTATCAGAAAAATGTATATAGTAGCAACGGAAAGAGAGCACTGTTTCCGAAGCTGACAAAATCCCGTGCAACAGACACATAAAGTGCTTGGCTGTGCTCAGAAGGGCTATTTTCGACCTATCTCTCACCTATAGAACATCTTGACCTTTGAGCACTTTGCAAACAATCCATTTGATTCACATGGGGCCTGAGGGCTGAAGCGAGTTGGTTGTCACCTCACTGTGAAGGGGGTTTCACAACTTGGCCTGGGAGCCACAGATTGCAACTTGAAGGCTGGGCTGGGACGATCTGCTCTCAGTTGTTCTACTTGATAAGAGATGGGGTTGATTTTGTTATTTTCATAACAGCAAGAGCTTTCTAGCTGGCACACAGCAGGCCAGGTACAGAGGGCTGGACTCCAGTAAACAAGGACAACCTGTGGAAGGTTTAAGTGTCTCACTAAAGCATGAAATGTGAATTTTATTGTTGTAAATATGATTTAAATATTTAAAGTTTTTCTTCTCTGTGAGAAGGTTGATTGTTAATACAAAGTATAATAAAAGTATGGTAACCCCCGTCCCCCCTGTATAACCAGCAGAAGTTACACTTGTCAGATTTTTTTTTCATTAACGGGTTCAGGTCAAGGTATTGAAAACTCACAGTAAGACAACTCTATCAATAAAAACAAAAAGAAACATTTTTAAAAGAGAATGTTTAGTACTATTAAAAGAACAAAGAAAAATACCATTTGAGACATGAAAATTAGAGTGCAAAATACTACAAAACTTTCCAGACTATACGTAATGCATAGAGAAACATTTTTGGTAATGCTACATTTATCCAGAAAACTGTGATTTTAGGAGAACCTAACATACTGGTAAATATTTTCTACTTTTTAAAAATGTAACATAAATTTTAAAAAAAATTTAGTAAATAACCCATAATTGAAGTGTAAAAAATGAAAAAGTCTGTCAGTAGTTTATTTTCCCCTTGAAAATGTGCATAATTTTGATTTCCTAAGGAAAAATGTAGACTATCATCTAAAATTTAAGAAGGCAGATGTAACTTCAAGACCCCCGGAAGATGAACTGTGGAAGAACTGGTTAATTGGCCTTTCAAATGTCCTAGGCATTGAACACAGAACATAAGAGGTCAGAACGTGGGCACGTAAGCATTCTTTTCTAAGTCTTGTGTAACACTCAGTGATGCCATGCACGTATTTGAAGGAAATTTCTCAAAGAAATACTTAAGCATGTTTTGTTGCTCAAAGTGTTTTGTGAATTGTTTGGTTGTAATTAAATTCTGAGCCTGATAGTGATATGGTTTCAAGAAGCAGTTGTACCAACTGAAATTTTTTTGGAGATTAAAAAAAATAAATAACAATCTGAGTTCCATATCCTCAGTTTTGGAAAACTGGTGTGATTTTTTTATTTGTGCAGGTGATCTTTAGTAACTGCTGAACACTTTTTTTTTTTTCAAGATTGATTTATTTTTATACAAGAACCAGGGTACAGGCCAGAGGCACGGGAGGGTGAGAGGATTCACCAGAGACAGAGTGGGGAACAGAACAGGCAGAGTGATGAAATACACTGCTGAGGGGAGCAGCGGGCGGCAGGAGAGGTCTGCCATGCCATGTGGGAATCTCCCTGGCTGGTCGGGAATCAAACCCACGCTGCAGAGGCTGCCGACAGCTTCATAGAGCTGCACTCAACGGGCTGCGCCACCGGGGAGGCCCAGAACACTTTTTTTTTTAACTAATATTTAATTTTGAGGAAAGTGGCACTAGCACAAAGCGTTAGGTCCACATAGTAGAGAATGGTATTTAGAAACCAAGATCAGGGTGTGAGGTGTATTCAAAATCACCAGTTTGTATACGAGGTGGGGACGATAGTATTATGCTTGGCTTGCTACATGTGAAGAACCCAAATATTGATTACAAGAAATTAGTGTACTCCTGTGGTCCTTCCTACTTTAATTTCTCCTCATTTTGTTTCTGCTCAAATTTCATGCCTCGGAATCATTTGAAGACCTGTGCAAACAGTTTCTGATTCAATAGGTCTGAGGTACCTTTCCAGAAAGCTATGTGATACTGACACTGCCAGTGTGAGGACACATTTCAAGTAGCAATATTCTTCAGGAATGGTGTGCAATTTACAAGTTTTATTTATTTTGTTAAAGATTTATTTATGCATACAAGAACTGGGATCTAAGCCAGAGATGGGGGCTTGGGTGAGAGGATTCACCAGAGACAGAGTGAGGAGCAGAACAGCCAGATCTGAAATACACTGCAGAGGCGAGCAGTGGATGAGTCAGGAGGGATCTGGGGGCGCCATGAGGGTCACCTTCATGGCTGGGGAACCAATTCTTTTTCTTAAAAAAAAAGATCTATTTATTTATGCTTAAGAGCCGGGGTACAGGCCAGGCAGAGATGCAGGGGCTGAGAGGATCCACCAGGGAACAGAACAGGCAGACTGACTGAAACACACTGCTGAGGGGAGCAGCAGGCGAGACAGGAGAGGTCTGCTGCACCATGTGGGTTTCTCTCCAGAGATCAAACTCATGCTGCAGAGGCTGCAGATCACCCCCATAGTGCAGTGCTTAACCCCTTGGGCCACCAGGGAGGCTCTGGGGATCCAACTCTTGCTTCAGTGGTTGTGGAAAGCTTCATAGTGCTGACACTTAACCCCTTGCACCACCATGGAGGCCCCAATTTGCAAGTTTTAAAGCTATTTTTGGATAATATCAGAAAAACAGGACAGTCGTTCACAGACCCAATCATACGGATTTTCAGTTGAGAAAGAGATGACTCAGAAAAGGAGCACAGGCTTGAACTTCTCCAATGTACTGATTCACCCCACTAACAACGGCTGGGAGGCAATGTTTGCAGAGAATATTTCAGTTGAGGAAGTGGCTTTTGTTTTTCTCCCACATGTATGAATAATGAGACAACACACACATATGTTCACCATCCACGTTCATGGGAAAAAACAAAAGGCTTATTTGAAAATTGGCATTACTAACACTCAAAGCATAATCTCTTTCATCCATTACTTTGGTTCAACATTCAGAACACACTGATTCTGGCTTATTGTTTTTTAATTGAAATTGAACTCACATATTGCAAAATTTAAGGTGTACAGCCTGTATTTTAGTATGCCCACAAAGTGTAACCATTATTGCTGTCTATTCCGGAACATATTCATTGCCCTAAAAAGAAATCTTGTTCCCCTTTGCAGTCACTCCCTAGGCACATCTCCCCCAGTTCCTGGTGACCACTGCATGTCTGTGTATTTGCCTATTCTGGACATTTCACATAAATAGAACCATATAATATGTGGCCTTTATGTTTGACTTTTTTCACACAGCATTATGTTTTCAAGGTTCACCCATGTAGCATGAGTCAGTATTTCATTTGTTTTAATGTTTTTTTTTTTTAAAGATTTATTTATTTTATTTTATACAAGCACTGGGTATAGTCAGAGGTGCGGGAGGGTGAGAGAATTCACCAGAGCCAGAGCGGAGAGCAGAACAGGCAGAGTGAGGAGGTACACTGCTAAGGGGAGCAGCGGGCAGCAGGAGAGGTCTGTGCGCCATGTGGGACCCTTGCTGGGGATCAAACCGGCGCTGCAGAGGCTGGGGGCAGCTTTGCAAGCCAGCGCTCAACCTCTGCACCACCGGGGAGGCCCTGTTTTAATGGTTTTTAAGGGGGAAATTAATAATACAAAGAACAGGCAGTGACCAACTCCATGAAAAAAAAAAATGTACAAGGAAGGAAAAATGAAAATATAGGTGAGATCAACTATGTGTAATATTTACATAACCACACTAAATAATGAAAATAGAAGTCAAAATTATCACCAACTTTATTGGAAATGGAGTAAATATATTGGGAGAATGTTAAAAAGCTAAAAATCATTCATCAAGAACTCATGTCATAAATTTCTAAAATGAGTACGTGTAATCAGTGATTTACACCCTTATATACAAATCATACTTACAAAAATTTAATAGTCCAAAAATACTAGTTTACACTGTTAATGGGATAAAAAATTGATACAACTGCTTTGAAAACATTGCAGCATTTAGTACTGAAATACAGAATGTATACATCCTGAATGTGGGTAATTGCTGGAATTGAAACATCAGTATGTCTTGATGTACAGCTTCATTATGATATAAAAACAAAATACCTCGGGCCTCCCCGGTGGCGTAGCGGTTGAGCGCTGGGTTGCGAAGCTGCCCGCGGCCTCTGAGGCGCCGGTTTGATCCCCAGCCACCGGAGGAGGGTCCCACATGGCGTGCAGACCTCTCCTGCCGCCCGCTGCTCCCCTCAGCAGTGTACTTCGGTCCTTCTGCCTGTTCTGCTCCCCGCTCTGGCTCTGGTGAATTCTCTTACCCTCCTGCTCTTCTGGCTGTACCCAGTGCATGTATAAACAAAACAAACAAATAAATAAATAAATAAAACATGCCTCTATAAAAAAAAAAAAAAATACCTCATTGTCACCTTTAGAGGAAGCTAACCTTTTTTTTTGGAAACGTGTTAAATAAACAGTAGGACAAAGCTTCAGCTTCATAAATGAACTTTCCTCCATTGTTTTCTAAGGAAAGAAAGTAGTTGATGAAGGAAAGCTTTTTTTCTCAAGTAAGTTTTCTGACACCAAAAGATAAACAAGTATCACCATTTTGTAGCCTTCAATGAAATAATTATATTAGTGGAAAAAGAGAGCAAGTCAGTCAAAATACATTTACATTCTGGTCTAATTACTCAAGGCCACCCATGTCGTATTCTTGCCAAAATCATTGAACAAATCTGACTAAGCCTCAGATAGATCTGTCGATTTACAGGAATTGTAGATACAGAGAAATATAAATAACATTAAGTGCAATAAATAGAATATGAAATATGAAAAATTCTAAAAGACATAAGACTTCATTCCTTTAACATAAGCAATGCAAGTCTAGATTTAATCAAACCATAGTATCAATGTGACATAATAAGATCTACACTATAGCTATTTTTTAAACAGAATATGTAGTTAAAAACCTTCCTGATGGAAAAAAATGGAGGTTAGGTTGCATGACGTGAATTCTATTAGACATAATTGAAAGAAATACCAAAATTATAGTAACCCTTTGAGAAAAGAGTGGGTAGAAATACTTCTCAATATTTTTTATGAAGTTACCATTACCCTGATTCAAGAACTAAACAAAGATTTTACAAGAACACTATAAACTGACATTTTTCATAAAAACAAACATAAAAGTTCTTAATAAAATATTACAAATTTGAATCAATATTACCAAATTGAATCAAGCAACATCTAAAAAGGATTATCCTAAGCAGGGTTTATCCAGAAACTCAATTGACTCAACATTTGAAAAATAAATGTAGGGCCTCCCTGGTAGTGCAGGCGGTTGAGTGCCGGTTCGATCCCCGCTGGCCGTGGAGCAACACACATGGCAGGGCAGACCTCTCCTGTCACGCTCGCTGCTCCCCTCAGCAGTGTATTTCAGTCAGTCTGCCTGTTCTGTTCCCCACTCTGTCTCTCACCCTCCCGCACATCTAGCCTGTACCCCGGTTCTTGTATAAATAAATCTTTAAAAAATAATAATAAATGTAATTCACCATATTTACAGAAAAAAATCCTATCATTTGATGCCACAGGAAATAAACTTAACAAAATGTAACAGCCATTCATGATAAAAGGTAGAAAGCAGACTAGAAAGAACTTCTTCAGTTTAATATAAGACGTACAAAAATCTGCAACTACCATAATACTTAATGGTGAAAAGCTGTAAGATTACAAACTAGGCAAAATGTTCATTCTTACAGCTTCTAATTAACATTGTACAGAGATTCTAGACAGTTCAGTAAGGCAAAAGAGGGCGAAAAACTGCAAAGTGTGGAGAAGAAAGAAAACTGTATTCACAAAGACAATATATCGGAGCATCCTAAAGAATGCACAAAAAACCTAATACAATAAATCATCAAGGTTGTAAGCTACAAGGTCAATATAGAAGTCAATTGCATTTCTATATAGATCAAATTGGAAACTGGAATTTTAAAAACACTTCTTATAATAGCATCATAGAACATAAATAGGGATAAGTGTAACAAAATATGGGTAGGACGTATTTAGGGAAAACTAAAAAACATTACTAAGAAAAATTAAAAACCTAAAACAATGAGCCATGACATGATTGTGGATTCAAAGAGAAGGTAATTTTTCTCAAATCTACAAACACTATTCTAATCAAAATCCCAGCAGACATTCATGCAGACAAATTGATTCTAAAATGTACATGGAAGGACAAAGAAACTAAAATAACCCAACAATTTGGAGGAAAAAAACAAAGTGGGAAAAAGTCACATTGATTTTTAAGCTATAGCAATAAAGACAACATGCTATTGGCATAAGGCAAATAAATCAGTGTAAAAAGAGTAGAGTTTCTAGAGACCCTCAATACACAGTGAATTGATTTTCAACACAGCTATCAAGGTATTTCAATGGGAAAAGATAACTTTTTCAACAAATACTGCTAGAATATCTGGACATCAAAAAAAGAACCTTAAACTTTTCTTCACACATACATAAAAAATAACTTGGAAGGGATCACAGACCTAATTATAAAAACTAAAACTGTAAAATGTCTAGCAAAAAACAGGAAATCTTTCAGCTCTTGGAATATGCAGACTTCTCAGCACACAAAAGGCACAACCATAAAATAAAAAATATATGTAAATTGGACTTGAACAAAATTAAAAACTTCTGTCCTTTAAGAGTTATCATTAAGAAAATAAGAAGGCAAGCAACAGATCAGGACAATATTAATATACATATTACATGAAAGAATTTTATTTACAATATTGAAACAATACTTACAATGCAATAGGATAAGCCAGATGAAAAACAGGCAACATGTTTGAACAAGCACTTACCAAAAGAAGATATATAAATGTCAAATAAGCATATGAAAATATGTTCAGCATCATCAGGGAAATGCATATTAAAACAACGATGATAACACCATACAACCACGAAAGTGGTTAAAATTAAAAAGAGTAATACCACCAAGAATTCACAAGGATATGGGGCAAATGAAATTTGTTTAATATATTGCTGATAGGAATGCAAAATAATACAATACTTTGTAAAAGCTTCAGTTTCCTTCAAAGTTCCACATAGACTTACTGTAAGACGAAAGCAAGTCCATCCTCAGGTATTTACCCAAGAGAAGTACAAGCATATATCCACACACAGATTTGTGATGTATATACATAGCAGCTTTATTCATGTAGATCAACTAAGGTGATCATCAACAACCTAAATGTTTCATTAACGATATGAATAGCTACAAATGTGATATATCCATACAATAGAGTTAATACTTAGCAACGAAAAGGAACATATTAGATCTACACAGTAACATGAAAGTACTGTAAAACTATTATGCTCAGCAAAAAAGGTCACACACAAAGTACATATTGTACGATGTACTTGAAAGTCCAGAAAAGTCAAATCTAATTTATAGTCACAGAAGAAAAGGTCAGTAATTGAACAGTGCTGATTGTTAGAGTGGAAGGGGAACTAATGGCAAATTAACACTACAAACTTAATTAGTAATGAAAACATTCTCCATCTTCATGGTACTGTTGATTATCTGAGTACTTGCTTTTGTTAAAATTCCTCAAACTGTGAACTTAAAATGGATGTTTTATTATAAGCAAATTACTCAAAAAAGGTTGACAGGGTGGGTGGAAAACATGATTTGTTTCATATTCTTTCCTTCCAATTAAATCTATAGTCAAAATTGTGGTTTGCCACAATTCCCAGTCAGTAGACCTTTTAAATATTCTGAACAAAAGTTTACATATTGCCTTATAATTAACATTAACCATTTTAAATATATTTACATTTTTAAAAACCTTAAGTTAGAAAAAATCTTCCCAATTTGCATTTTAACTTGCCTCATACTAACTTTGAAATATAATCTGCACTAATCTTCGCTAGGATGTGAGGAAGTCTTGAAACAATACCCTGTCTCTTCCTGACTTTAGAGCAACTATAGACAGAGTCAGGCAGATGGAGATTCAGGTTCAATGTCAGAATTATCACTGAGAATAAGGCCAGGTTAGGTCTGTGTCAACAATGGCCATGTAATAATTGAACCCCAAATTAGAAAGACCTGCTCACCAAGGCAAGGCCAGTCCTGCACATGTCCCCTGGGAGAGGGGCGGGCCTTCACTGCAAAGCCCACAGCAGGTCTAGCAAGCAAACACAGCACAGGCACTCCGCAAGCATGACAAATCCAAAAAAAGGGGGAGAAGAGGGTTTGCAAGTCCAGTTCTTTCCCCCACATTGCTTTTCCTGGAGAAGTGGGAGGGAGAAGAGAAGGGAGAGATCAGAATTCCTTGGTCAATGTATGTCCAAAGAAAGGAAGCCATTCCCACACTCTGCCTTCCCAACAAAATGCAGACCAGCAGTTCTTTTTTTTTTTTTTTTTTTTTAAAGATTTATTTATTTATTTATACAAGCACTGGGTACAGTCAGAAGCGTGGGAGGGTGAGAGAATTCACCAGAGCCAGAGGGGAGAGCAGAGCAGGCAGACTGACGAAGTACACTGCTGAGGGGAGCAGCGGGCGGCAGGAGAGGTCTGCGCGCCATGTGGGACCCTCGCCTGGCAGCCGGGGATCGAACCGGCGCTGCAGAGGCCGCGGGCAGCTTCGCAGCCCAGCGCTCAACCGCTGCGCCACCAGGGGAGGCCCCAGACCAGCAGTTCTAAAACTTTCTTTCAGCTTGGCACACAGAACAGGTGAAGTTCACATAAAACACACATTAAGGCACACTTCATTGTACACTAAATATAGGGTCACCCCTTCACTTCCATTTAAGTGGGCATACTTAAGTGGAAGTGACTAAAATGGCATATTTTATTTTAATTTACTTTGGTTATGAGTAAATCATTTATTAATTTCTATATTTTATAACTGGGTTAAAAAAAACTTTGCTTTCTCCATCTAAAATGCTATCAATTACAAAATACACCATCAGTTTAATAATAATCTCTTAGGAAAAAACAAGATTTAAATATCCATAAATTTGAAGGTAATTATGGAACTATGGTTCTTGAGTCAACTCATAACTTCATTTAGATACCTGAAGGTCACAAAATCAAAGTTCAAAAATGGCTGGTTCAGGTGAATTTAGAAGGGTTTCTGACTCATGAAGTCTGAAATTAAGTGATTCTTTTCTTACTGTTTGGAAAGGTGGTGAAACAAGATTTTGGTATCATTACATGAAGCATTTTCAACCTGAAAAAGTCCCCACTGATCAGTTATAATCATGGAAACACTTAGCTTCCTGAGACAAAGGTGTTGCTGTTTTATTCAAGTGTTCATTATAGTTTTGTCAATTCAAAAGCCCTACATACTTTAGCTACTTTACATACTTTAGCCCCAAATACAGATCTGGATTCTCTGCTCTCTATCTAGCATGACCTTTCAGTGTTTATGTTGCATTTTCTTTAGCCATTTAAGACAGTCTACAATTTCAGAACCTGCTGTCTAGAGAATAGTGTGATTCTCAGATTCTCAGTCTGGATGTGTCCTAATGAGTGTTTATGTCACACAATTTTCAAGTAGGAACAATGCACATCATATTCAATATAATTTTAGTGTTTAGTGTTATCTCAGAAAGTTAAACATTTTATCATGAATAGCAATTGTTTCTTTCAAAATCAAAAGGATATATTATCAGTTAATAAGCTTAGTAAAGATTTGCATATCAGCAATCATATCCTTATAAAATACTGTACACATTTTTTTTCTTCATGCATATATGAGTGTTCACTAACTCTTTCCATCAGGGGATGGAAAAGTGAGCTGGCCTCCCTCTCTGTAATTCACTTTTTCTCTTCCACCTTATGTCTAAATTACCTTTGATGCCTTAAAGTCAGACCAAACTAGCTTTCCAAAGTTAACACAGAGGAAATACCAGGTTCCTGAATAGAATCTAGTAGCTACATACACTCCATTCTGGGTTTTGACTCTTTTGGGGATGAGGCATAAACCTTCTGCAAGAAACAATCCCCAACTTATAATCATCTGTGCTATAACATCAGCAGGAGTTACTTCTCTCTTCCACCTAAGGAAGAGATTACAGACATCATCCTCCTTTCTTAAAATCAAAAGAAACAAAGGTTGTATATCTGCAAGATAACTCAAGTTCTTCACTGAACTAGCTAGCATCTACTGAATATTTCATATGGGACATACCATATACAAGGTGCTTTACATATTTTATATTCACATCAAAAAGAAATTTAAATACATCAAACTTTTCAAAAGCTAGTAACACAAAATAAGCAAATCTTCAAAATGCAGAAAAGATTTATTCACGAATACATTAGAAACAAATACCCATGACCCAAAACAAGACACCAAATGTTGAGTGCTCACGTCTCTAGACACCCAATCATCTACCTTTTGAGAATATCCCTTATTAAAACAAAAATATATATAATTAATATTCACAGGGGGTTTTGATGCCTCTAAACTGACCTGTTTTAATCAAAACTGACTGTTCCATATAACTTAGGAGGAAAAATAATACTTTGCATGGCAAGTTCTGGCTTTTCCAACTTTGAAAAAGAAAGTAAGCATTCTAATAAAAGGAAAAAAATCCAATCCTCTCTAAAAATGTAGACCATTACTTACACACAGTCCCAAAGGGCAAGGTAGAGTCCTTAAGATAGAGTAATTTACTTGCAGCTCTAACAAAGGTAAAATTAATTTTACACCAATAAGAACTTCCTGAGTGTCAGAACAAACAGTACCCAGCACTTTTATATAACTGACTACAATACAAGTAGTATAAAAATAGTAATTCACATTAACAATGACAGTATTGATTTGTAGATGTATTTGTGGCCTTTCCATGCATGATCTCTTCCATATATCCTTTCCTACTCATGGGATTTTATTTGTCTTCATTATAGCTTTGCAATAAATTATATTTCAGAGTCTGTGTATATTGTGCCTAAGTTATTCACTCATTCATACTCTAATACTAACATCCCTTCTGTTTCTTTAACTTTTAGAAAGAGACAATTTAGCCACTTAAAATTATTTCTCATTTCATTGAGTATTTCCAAGAGTTACCTAGAAAAACAATTCCAAACTCATTAGCTGGAAAGCTATAAGCAAGATGTAAGTTATTCTCAAGGCTTCAAACTTTTAAAAATTAGGAAAAGAAAACACTGTTTTTGTCTGGGACAATATAGCACTCATTTTTTTATGATGTATTAAGAGTCATTCATTTTAAAAATATGTACATATTAAAAATGACTTGCTTATGGTAAGAGCAACTTGATTACTTTAATAACAAAAAATAAAAGCATCATTCTAACATTTATCAGTACTTCACACATCTATAAAGGACTCAGAGCAGCAATTACTATTGTTATAATAATTTTAAAGTCCAAACGTAAGTACAAATCAGAATTAAAAGAAACTTCTGAAAATGTTCCGAATGTAAACATTTGCATGCATGCATTTTCAGCTGAACTTTCAAAGATTCTGCAGGTAACCAAATGACAACTTTGAATCAAAATAAAACATGAAAAGTATTCCAATTTTGTGACACACGCTAATGAAACAAAAAGCTTTAAGAGTGCATAGTAACAGCTGTCATATTTCTAGGAGGGAAAGAAATCACTACTTAATATCAAAGTCAACAAGTCAGTGTTTTAATAACACCGGCCATCAAGTTTTCACATTCAAGAAGCCAGTTTTCAATTTGTGTCTTTAAAATGTAGTCACTTATATATCTGGATCAAATTAAGCTCATTCATTAAAACCACTGTATTCAGATTTCTAATCTTAAGAAGTTTCATCAAAACTTACCCAAGCATAGCCCAAACACTATACAATACTTCTACCATTTAGTTTGCATATGCCTCATCTGAAAAACTAATTTTACAAACAGGAAGTTTGTCCTCCTCCTCCACAGTAAATGTCCCTACACCTAAATTAGCTTCAAGTGGCAATCAAAAAGAGATTTAAATAATTCCCACCACGCCTCATCGGGCTTTGATAAAGACAGAGCCATCTGGTGGTGACGCACCATCCTCCTTCTCAGTTACAGTCTCTACAGTCCCAGAAGCTGATACAATAACCATTGTTTTATTTGCTGAAACCATCTTCTGTTTTTCAGCAATAGCTGCACACACCGCAACAATCTCATCACTTTCAAAGTCATAGTCAGGAATTGACTTTGGTGAGAAATGTGTCCCTTCTGCTGGTGCTTCAGATTTTTTAATCCTCTGTGCTACCTTCTGCTGCTCCTGGAGTGTTCTTGCCCAAGAAAGGTCTTCTTTCCATATTTCAGGGTTCATTGGGTAGATGTGAAGGGCTACTTGAAAACTCCGAATTGCCTAGGGAACAAAATGATCAGTTTTTCATTTTCTTTGTTTTAAAACCTGTGTACTTTGGGGCCTCCCCGGTGGCGCGGCGGTTGAGCGCTGGACTGCAAAGCTGCCCGCAGCCTCTGCAGCGCTGGTTCGATCCCCGGCCTCCGGGCGAGGGTCCCACATGGCGCACAGACCTCTCCTGTCGCGCCCACTGCGCCCACAGTGTCCTCTGTCTGTCTGCCTGTTCTGTTCCCTGCTCTGGCTCAGGTGAATTCTCTCACCTCCCGCACTTCTGACTGTACCCAGTGCTTGTATAAATTAATAAATAAATCTTTAAATAAATAAATAAATAAAATGTCCTCAAATATGTTTTTAAAAAAAAAAATAAAATAAAATAAAACCTGTGTACTTTGTTCTATGTTTATGAGTTACTATTTTTAAAATGCAATTTGTAGGGGCCTCCCCCGGTGGTGCAGCGGTTGAGCACTGGGCTGCAAAGCTGCCCGCAGCCTCTGCAGCACCATTTCGATCCCCAGCAGCAGGGCGAGGGTCCCACATGGCACAACAGATCTCTCCTGCCACCCGCTGCTCCCCCTCAGCAGTGTATTTCGTGGGTCTGTCTGTTCTGTTCACTGCTCTGGCTCTGGTGAATTCTCTCACCCTCCCACGCTTCTGACTGTACCCAATGCTTGTATAAATAAACAAATAAATCTTTAAAAAAAAATGCAATTTGTACTTATTTTTAGACAGGATTGATAAATGACTATGTCCTTTTGTTCAGCTGATCAAAATTAACAATCACAAGAAAATTTCATCATTATAACAAAAAAAAAAATCTGCCTTCCATACCAAGACTATCTCTCCTAATCCAAGCTGAGCACGTCCCAAAGTTTGCCAAGACTCCCAAGAATGTGGGTTTCTCTGGACAGCCATTTCTGCTGCATGAACTGCTGGGAACATTTCATGAAGAGACATTAGGACCTACAGTCAAAAAGAAGAAACAAAATCTGTTAGTAATACAAAAAAACTAGCAAACTCTGAATTGATAACTACATGCAAACAACCCATTTCATTTATAAAAATATTTTTTTAGCGTGGTAAACATAGCATTTCAGTGGTTTTGACCCCCTCTTCTGCCATTCAGGGTGAAGAATTATACTCTTCTTCCTAGTCCTGAAGTAACTACAAAACCCTAAGCTATTTCCTTTCTAACCATTGGACCCTACTGTCCATCTGGTTAAAACCAGTAGTCACATTCTAGCCATGATGGTTCAGAGCTTTTTGAACTCTCAATTCTATTTCTGTTTATTCTACTTACAATGTGGTTTTAGGAACCACAAGTCTTGCTGCTAAACTGGGTAATTTAAATTTGTTCAGTGACCCATCCTGTCACTAGTGAACATCTTCCTGCAACAAAAATCATTTAAACACTCCACAGTGTTTAAACACCCCATTACTGGGTTCTTCAAACAACAGAAATCTAAAAAATAGGAAATTTCAAGACACTTCAATCTATGAAAAGGGCTGGATTTTAGCTATAACCTTTGGAAGCATCCACATGCCACAAGGTTTGTGACACAACCATCATTAACAGGACCAAATCAAGTAATTCATTTTGTACCGTTTGCTATAAAACAAGCATTTGAAATGTACAGATTCAAGGCTGAAAATTAAAAACTTATCCAAGTGAAGATCCTCAGGGTACTTCATTCAATGCACATAATTTATGTGGGCTTTTCTGGGATAGATTAGAATCAAAGCTGATCTAAAGGATGTGCCCTATATTTGAGATCAGTATCTGAAAGTTGTATGGATCAAAGCTGAATTAATCACAACTATTCCCTGCCAAAAATGTTCAATGCTGTTTGAAACTTCAAAAGTCTCTTGGATAACGGAAGTGCTCCAAGGTATTCTTTATAGACTTTCCACAAAATACTAAAAATTTATTTTCTCAGTATAAATACTATTGTTAAACTATCAATAAATTGAGGATGTTCTGACTTTTGCTAAGGATGAGGCCATCCTTAGAGAGATACCATCATCCAGAACTCAATCAATCCTCACTTTGAAGAAGTTAAGTAAACTACTAAGTCCACTATAGTTAATTTCCAAGGAAAGCAAATGCATTTCATTTATACAAAACATCGCCAGTGATTTTTTTAAAAGATAACCAACTGCTCATATCTTGCCATAGGCAGGGTGAAATAACAGCTGACTTTATTATGAAAAGAAGCAAATTTCTACCACTATGCATAAGGCAGAGCCATACATACTGGGGACATGTTTTTTCCCCAAATGAATTATGTTCGAAAAAGTGGAAGGAAATGCTATTTTCATCTGTCATTGAAATTCAAAGTACAAGTGAAATTCGACACAATCATTACCTGTGATTTCATCTCATATAGGGTAGCATCATCTGGGGTTAACTGTAGCGCTTCATCCCACTTCTGAATTGCCTCTCGATATCTGTGGTTGTTAAAGTTACATTCATATTTTCAGTAAGTCCTTGAGAATACATGACCAAATTTAAAAATCAGATAGGAAGGAATAATTGTTTATCAAGAAACATGTCCTCAAAAATTGATGATGGTACAAAAGCAGTAAAATTTAAGAGATAAAGAGAAAGGACAGCAAAGGAGAAAATATACATACAAATATAAGAGATCTTGGAAAGTTTTCTCTGAGATGTTATTTTCTAGACTGAGAAACTACTACCAGAATTTCACCTTTTTTCAGACTTCCATGTCTATATTTGTTGTCAGTCATTTTAGGTGTACAATAATGGGCTTCTCTGAGGAATTTACGATCCTGTTATAGTTCTGGACTCTACTGCAGCAAACCAGCTAGCACAGACATGAGATACCATTAAAAAAAAGTTACCATTGGGCCTCCCCTGGTGGCGCAGCGGTTGAATGCTGGGCTGTGAAGCTGCCCGCAGGCTCTGCAGCGCCGGCTCAATCCCCAGCCACCCAGCCACTGGCGAGGATCCCACATGGCGCGCAGACCTCTCCTGCCACCCGCTGCTCCCCTCAGCAGTGTATTTCATCAGTCTGCCTGCCTGTTCGGTTCCCTGCTCTAGCTCTGGTGAATTCTCTCACCCTCCCGCACTTCTAACTGTACCCAGTGCTTGAATAAATAAATAAATTTTAAAAAAAGTTACCATTCAAGAAGTTGCCAAATAACTTTGTAAAGATTCTCCAGTTTGAAGTTCCTTGTTTGTTAAGCTCCTGTTAGTACAGAAACCATGCCTGTTCATTACTGTCAATACATGGTAAGCTTGTAAGTAATGGGACATTGTGAAGATGTCAATTTCCACCCCCTTCTTTTCACTAATCTCTCTTTTGATTTCCAGAGCCACCCAGATGTTAGCGAACTGACATCTCATTCTAGCTGTCCCACAGACACTGTAGGTTCAGTATGCCCCAAGCAGGTCTTCGCACACTCTGTGCAAATCTGCAGAAGCACAGCAGCGCACATTCTCTTTTTTAATAAACTTAAGGAATGATGAAGTCCTATGTGTAATCAAAGTTTTGTGTAACCAAAGCATTTTCACAAGGTTAACTCATTTACTTGAGTATTTCTAGGAGGAGAGAGCTCTAATTACCAGAACATTCTTCATTTATAAGATGCTCAAATTTTATCCTGCATATTTGCACTAGTTTTGCTACTAGTTCTGCTTCCAAGGACTAAATTGAAGATATACACAACCCACCCATTTTCATTCCTGACTATAATCTAGAAAGATTTTGGATGGGAACATGAACACACACACACACACAAACTGAATGTACGTGTATATGTCCCCTACACAGAATGAATAGAATGAACTGTTTACCACTGAAATTTGATAAGGCATCAATAGATTAATACATTAAATTGTAAGCTGATAAATAAAAAGGGAAAATAATCATGCATTTATTATGTTTTTCCTATATGAACTGTATTTCCAAGTTAACTAGTTGATGAGAAAAAGTTCTTTATGGAGGAAAAATAACTAATAAATCAAGAAGAATATTACAATTTTTAAAATCATTTATTTATGAAATACTAATAGATCTAAGCAATGACCATCAATGAGCACTAAAACTGTCAGAGGAAAAGACGGATGCAGAACTATATAGTGGAGAATTAAGGCTGACACTCCACCCAAGCCCTGTAATTGATCTCAATATCACTAAAGAGGACTCCCAATAATATACACATCATAATATTGATAGATGCAACAGAAAGTAAACAATACTTTTTTTACCCCATATGAATAATTTTATTAAGGTAAAAAATATCATTATGCGCCTCCCTGGTGGTTCAAGGGGTTAAGATGCAACCTATGAAGCTATCCACAGTGATTGCAGCATGAGTTCGATGCCTGGCCAGGGAGATACCCACATGGTACAGCAGACCTCTCCTGTCTTGCTGCTGTTCCCTTCAGCAGTGTGTTTCAGTCAATCTGCTTATTCTGTTTCTCCAATCTGTCTCTGGTGAATCTTCTCACCCCCAACCCCCACCTTTGGCCTGTACCCCAGTTCTTGTATGCATAAATAACCTTTAAAATCTATATACAGCATTATTTTTCTTAGTATTAGTTGGCTCACAGAACTTTTTCAACAGATGGGATGGCAGTGGTATTTATATGTATGTCCAAAATACTTTTAGTGAATTGAAGTTATAGAGCACACTGGCCCCTGGAATCTTGAGAGAAAGAAAAATAGAATTACAGTCAGGATCAGTTTAACTACAGCAGAAGATATTAAGAATCATAAACTAGAGAAATACCTAACAGGTAAATCTGACAAATTACTAGGGAGTGAGTGGGCACTCTCTTGAGAATGAGAAACTGATGAGGGAACCTACATGCTGATGGCTTCCATACGTAATGGATTTTACCTCTAGGTATCTGGTGACATAGGGGTTAAAGTCTCAGTGCTGTGAAGCTATCAACAGTCACTGTGGCATGAGTTCAATCCCCCGCCAGGGAGCTGACCCACATGGTGCAGCAGATCTCTCCTATCTCGCCTGCTGCTCCCCTCAGCAGTGTAGCAGTGTATTTCAGTAGATCTGCCTGTTCTGCCCCTGACTCTGCCTCTGGTGAATGATTGTTGAGATACATTACATAAAAAAGGGAAGGAAGAGAATGGTGTATATATTTAGAATGCTACCATTTATAATGTTTTATAGATAAACAGACCCACATGCTTATAAATCTAAAGATTATCTCTGACAGGACATCAAGAAACTGGTAACTGTGGTTGCCTGTGAGAAAGTAAACTAAGAGACCAGGGCACTGAGGGGTGAAGGAGACTTACTTTTCATTGTTTATCCTTCATTAAGATTGCATTTTCTTTTTAAAATCATGAGCATTTATTGCCTTTTCTTTTCACTAATGATTTTAAGAATAAACGAAACAAAACATGGGAATGGGTAAGATAACACAGAGAGCAGATGAGATAGATAGCACAACTCAGTTTTAAAGTTCAGAGGTCAAGCAGAAAAGGAAAGACCAGCAAAATGAGAAGCAAAGAGAGGGAGGAGGAAATTCAGGAGAATGTGTGATTTCATATAAACCAAGAGAAAGTCTATCACAGAGAGAGCCATGAGCTGTACCTCGCAGAGATAGGCCTCTGCTGACCAAACAGGATTCTTAGGACGGTGGGAACAGAAATCAGACTGAAGAGTGAACTGGAATAAACAAGCCAGACAATGAATGCTGGCAACTTTCAGCAAGTTTTTCTGTGATTAGCAGAGACAGAAGATCAAGAGAAGGTTAACCTATATTTCAAACACTTATCTAAACTGAATTCATCACTGTCTCATACCCTCAAAGTTACTCTACTCTTATATGCCTGGTTAGAGAACAGATCATCAGTCATTAAGACAGAATCCTAAAGTCATTCTTGACTCTACTGTTCTTTGGCCTAGATCACATTAGTCATCAATTCTCTCTCAAGTTCTTTTCTTTAACCCACTATCACTGTTTCTACTTCATATAAGTACTCATTCTTCGTTGGCAGGATTATTAAAAATTCAATTAACCAGTCTTCCCTGTGACTAAAAGTCTTGCCTGATTCCACTCCATTTTCTACTTTATCTCAGAAAAATTTATCTAAAACACAATTTTGATATGTTCCCTTAAGGAATGAGTATTTCAACAGCTTCTGGTTACCTTCAGGACATTAAAGTCCAGGCCTCTTCAATTTAGCAGATGCTAGACATGGTACCAAAGTTTACCAAAGTCGCCATTCACCTCAAGACATACCCTCAGCTAACATTGTACATTAGGCCTCTTCTAGTTCTCCTGAATCTTCTTTTTTTTTAAAAGATGTATTTATTTATGCATATAAGAACTAGCGTACAGGCCAGAGGTGTGGGGGGGTTGAGGGGGTGAGAGGATTCACTGGAGACAGAGTGGGGAACAGAACAGGCAGATTGACTGAAATACACTGCTAAGGGGAGCAGCGGGGGAGTCAGGAGAGGTCTGCTGCGCCATGTGGGTAGCTCCCTGGCTGGGGATTGAACTCATGCTGCAGTGGCTGTGGGCAGCTTCATAGGTTGCATCTTAACCCCTTGTGCCACCAGGGATGCCCACTACTGAACCATTTTTAATACTCCAAGGGAAGAGATTTTTCTCTGGTGTCCTCTTAGCATGGCACATGCAGATCCCTGTGGCAGGAACACTGCTCTGCCCATTCTTAATCTAACTCCCACTTGTCTTGCACAGCTCTACTCTGATGCCATCTTCTCCCCAAAAGCTTCTCAAACTCTCTTTAACTCTTCCACTCCCTCATTAAGGTAAATGTCCTCCTTTTTCATCATTCAATGCGCTCTCAAGAACAATGCCCTTTACTTCATCTCAAAGCAGCTTCCTTCTCTGGCTCATTCCATTAGATGATTATTTTCTTTGAGGCATCAATGCCCAAACAAAGGCATTAAGTAAATGTTCAGTGAGTAAAAAAATGATATAAAAATTAGTATACTAAGCTAATTTGGGTGAGGGGAGAAGGATATAAAACAACAAATGTCAAATGGTGTTGAACATAATTTTATCTTTGCTGAATCAGAGGGGCTTAGATTTTACACAGCTTTAGAGTACATTTTAATTCATTTAAATTCTTGGTAAAAAGAAAAGTTGCATACCTTTAAATACTACTAAACTCTAATGTTTTATTCTAGATAAAACTGATTCTAATTCCTGCAGTTATGTTCTACAAAGTTGCCTTAAAGACAGAATGAGTGGGGGGCCTCCCCTGGTGGTGCAGGCCATTGAGCACCGCACTGTGAAGCTGTCCACAGCCTCTGTAGCGCAGATTCGATCCCCGGCCAGGGAGCTATCCACATGGCGAAGCAGACCTCTCCTGTCTCGCCCGCTGCTCCCCTCAGCAGTGTGTTTCGTCAGTCTGACTGTTCTGTCCCCCACTCTCTCTCTGGTGAATCCTCTCACCCTCCCGCACACCTGGCCTGTACCCTGGTTC